ATTAGCCTGGAATGAGTAGCACAAGCCTCGGTTAGTTAATACCTCTGTGTGAGAAAGTAACTTGGGATCAGTCCAAGCCCCTCAGTAAGAGTGATTGGCAGAAGAGGAACATCAATGGAACCTCTGTGTTACACAGAATCTCTTGTCAATAACACAACTCGACACGAGAGACAGAGGGAGGGAGGAGGACTTAAGATAGAGACGAGGCAGAGAGACAAAGATGGCACTCGGAGGTAGAGGCTACTTGTCTCTACGTAAAGCACCATATTGACTGATAAAAGACCAAGGGAATGTAGCAGAGGGTGAAATACTTGAGAGTAATTTTATGGTATATGAGCTTTTGTGTGAGCACTCTAATGTGTGTGTGCGTGTGTTTAACCAGATTTAGAAGCAGTGGGCTAAGAGAATGTAGGAATAGAGTTAAAATAAGCCTCTGACATGTCAAGGTGGCCTGGATGTGAAGCTCAGAGTGATTACAAATGAAATCATTAACTCCCCTCGCACCGCAGGAAGAAAGTCATTAAGACACACACGCTTGACTTAGCTTGTTCTACGTGTGTGTGTGTGTGTGTGTGTGTGTGTGTGTGTGTGTGTGTGTGTGTGGGGGGTGTGTGTGAAGAAGACGAGTGAAAAGCAAAGTGTGATAGAGGTAGAGTGAGACGAGAGAGATTTTGCTAATCTACTGTCACAAAATTGTTCTAACACTTATGGGAGTAGTCAGTGTGGTTGGTCTCCGTAGTGGAGCTGATGAATATTATCATGATATCAAAATGGATATTTCAACATCGATATATAACAAAATATTGCAAATTATACACAAAATCACACATTAAACTGTCAAACCGAAGTGCAAAATAACTGTGTCCCACTATTATGCGTTATACATCAAAACTGATACACGGCCATACTGAATTATAGCCCAGTCCCACTCTGATGACTGTTATAAGTATAATCTATCTGGTATGGTTATAGAGACAGAGGGAGTCATATGCTGTTCAGATTAATGTGGCATTTGTGATTCAGGGCTATAAATATTAATGACAAAACTCTTGCACAGCGTCCCGCTCACTGCTGGTGTATTTATTACCCAACTTCTATCAGGTTTACAGTGCTGTAAATGAAACTGACTTGCTTGACTTGTTAAACAAACTAGAGTTAGTTTATGTACCACAGTTCGCCACAGATAAAGGTTTTATTCTTTCCTGGTAAATGTGTTAGCTGTGGACAGACACAATAGCAATAGTGACACCTGATGCATTTCTAAAAGATTTCACTTAATGTGTGTAATAATGTGGTATCCTCATGACTACATTAAAAATGTACTATTGTTTGTCCCCTCTTTGTCCCCTTCACACCCACTGTGCTGGGACATAAGCAATTCAGCGCCCTCTCCCATCACTCCTTCCCAGGAGAGCAGACGCTGGGGGGAGAGGAGGTGGAGGTTAGGCTTTAAAGGATGATATAGGATTGAGGAAGAGAGTAGAAGGAAAAGAGGGGTGAAGGAAGGGGTGGGCATGTGGCTCCCTGTGTCATGTAGACACAAACAGATGAAGAAAAGGTCATCTCCACACACACACAAGCACACAAACGCACAGGGGCTTTGTGTCATACTAATGATGATCATTATTCAATTGAGCTGAAGGGCAAAGGAGAAGTGGACAGCGTGGTGCCATTTACCAAGATCTGCCCTCTACATGTGTTGATCCCTGAGCACCTAAAACAAAAAAAAAACATGCCCCCAAACCCATAACGACTATAAACAGGAATGTGTATAATTCATTTAATGGAGAAAACACTTCACTCCATCACCTGAATGCAACTGTTTCTGCTGAAGCCCATTTGACTCAGCCAGACTTAAGGCGTTTTTACAGTATGGCTGACAGTACACAGCAGGAATGAATTCTAATGGGGATTAAAAGCAAGGCTGCACCTGTCACAGCAGCTCCCTGTCTGCCTGCCTGCCTGCCTGCTTGTCTCCCTGCCTGCCTGTCTGTGTGCCTGCCACTCTGTACCCTGGATAGTATAGTGTGTGCTTTTTGTCTGTGATCCTTATGTGTCTGTGTGTATATGTGAATGTGCTGTGACTTTCAAGCCGATTTCATACGTTTGCGTGCGCCTTTCTGCTGACTCCTGGAAGGATGATTGCAATTGTTGGCTTGCGTGCGAGTGTGAGTGACATACATGCAGCTCTCCTGGTACTTTGAGGCTGGCCCAGCGCTGTGTTTGCAGATAGTTTGAGTGGCAGGAGGTCAGGGAACAGGGGAACGATGTGTCATCCAGTCAGGAAGTCTCACGACTAAACAAACGCTAGACATACAGCTGCTGCATTTCAGAAGCATTTATCTCACCAAGCATTATTATCTGAAAAATGATTTGCATCTCACACAAAGACAGAGGCTACACTCCCTTCATTAAGTTGCCATTTGTTCAGTATGTTGTTTGTAGCTACACTGAGGGGCTTGTTTTCTTTCATTCTCATTTGTTTAAAATATCACACAATTTCAACCTGGTCCTCCACCTTTCTTGTCAACTTACATTATGGTTTAAAACAATAAAACTGTCTCATATTATTGAAATACAGTGTTAAACTTGAGAAAATGAGAAATTGTAATTGCTTATTTCACTGCAGTCAGGAATAGCAGTCACTTGATTTCAGCACAATGCAGCAAAAATAACACTTAACATAACTTAAAATAAGCCATTTTTTTTCCATTGCTTGTTTGAAGCAAATATTTATGCCGAAAGCTGATTGTATATGTTTTGAAACACGAGTGTACATCAAAAAGCACGTGACTGACAACATTACTATGACTCCGGTTAAGAAATAATGCACACTGACATTATTCTGGGCATTAACCCAACTGAGGGAAATGTCAAAGGGCAATTGGTCATGGCACCAAAGAAGACTGCGGCTGCAGAAGAAGGACTGTGACCCGATGTGTCATGGTATAGACCTTTCCAAACCAAAACAAAGATATACCTTGAAGAATGTCTCTTGATTTTTCCAAGATGAGTTAAATGCATTTTACAGATATACTTTAAGCCACTGAAAGTATTCACAATACACAGAGTGACCATTAAATGTAGCAAAACCAAGAATATGTAATGACGTATGTCTCGGAGTGGATGTCTGCATAATAAAAAAAAAATTTAAAAAAAAGAGTCCTCGCAGGAGTATGTTTCTGCTAACATTCACTGCTAAATACATCTTTTCAAATCGATGGCTCCGATGAGATTAGACCTTTTAGCTTGGAGTCTGTGAAAATGCCAGAAGAAAGCAGCAAATAACAGCAGCGGTGAAGTGGGCCGGCTGGTGTTTATTAATGAGTGGGAAAGCAGAACAGAGAGATACAGTATCCAGCAAGGCCAGTGCTTAGATAATGCTACGCAGATGGGTCAGGATGAGCTTAGCATATTAACATGTTATGTAACTCCAAGTGCTGTGATTGTCTTCAGGCCCTGCGCACATGAGGTGATGGATTTTTATTTTTTTTCGCTTCCGTATAACTCTTTATATGTTGTTGTCAGGGAAACTGTTAGAAGGCAGGATGTGTTTCTATCATGTTTAAATAAGCTAGAGTGTGTGCGTGGTGAATTTTTGTGTTGATGTTGTGTTATGATGTTTTTAAAAACAGCTTGCTTAGGGGAATAAGCTAACTCCAGGCGGGGTCCCCCCTGTGGAGGCCGCAACATCCCCTTTTCTCGTCTCTCCCTGATCAGGGGTGGCAGGCAGAGATAAGACACCTACAAAGTAAACACTGCTGCAGACTTCAGCTTTCCACCTCTCTGTCACATACACACACACACACACACACACACACATAATTGTACCAGGTGTTGGCCTGAATGGATTGATGGTCATATCACACACTGGTCACACACTGTTGTCGTGCTGAACCTACTGTTGTCATTCTCTTGGCAGAACAGGAGCCTCATTTATAAACATTGTTTACATACACAAAACAGATGTAAAAAAAAAAAATGTTTATGTCTCTGGCCAAGCTGGGATTTATGAGAACAAACTGGATAGGTGGCTGTGTGCACCTCAGTGGAAACTCAACCATGACCCATGCATACAGCACAATGAGTTACCAGTTTTAGCTGTCCAACGTAATGCAACCCAATAGAATAGTCTTTCATTAAATAACATGTTTAAGCACAAAATATTCACTCTTTAGAGGCTGTAATTGTAAGTGGTGTTATAATGGATTGCAGTATGTAGTAAGACGTGTTTGTGTGTTACACCCTGCCCCCTCATACATGTGAATCAGGTGAATGGAGCAGTAGAAACATTGAGATAGAATTGGGATTTGTAGTCTGCTTCCACTGTTTCCATATGCCTTTTTTTGGTGCTTGTCTCAGTCAGACTTCAACATTCTTCAGCTTTTTTTTTTCCTCTCCCAGACTGACAGCCTGCCTAACTGTCTGCCACTCTGTTTACCTGTCTGTCTGCTTGACTGCCTACCTCTGCCTGTAGCCTATAACTGTAAATCCTCATTTGGAGCAGTATATACTGCTCTCTGAAGCACTGTCAATTCTGTGACATCCCCCAGAGGGACACCCTCACATACTTCAGCTTTAGGTTCACTGACAGTATGAAGCAGTGTTGGTATGTAGCACAAGGCAGTCAAAATAAGATGGTGAAAGTGTGTAAAAATAACCTTCTTTTCCTTTTCTTTCTCTTTTAAGCGTCCTTCTTACAGTATGAAATGCCTTAGTAGTCATCTAGGAATTACAGACAGACAGCTTTTTAGCTCTAAGAGCCTGAAAACATTTTGTGTTAATGACTGTGGCTTTTTTTTTTTTTTTTTTTTTTTTGCTGTATTTGTTGAATAGCAGTGTGCACTGTGGGTGAAAACAATAATGTGAGGATACGGAGGGGAAAAACTGGCACAGAACAAAATCATACCAAGCAGTGTAGTTGCTGACACTGTAAATCTGCCTCAAAGCCACTTCATTATTCTGTTGTAAAACCTTTAATTTTCTATATTGGTTTTTAGGTTACTTCCTGGAGTTGCTGAACCGCTCTGCGATTAGCCTACAGGAGACTTTCACCGCAACTTGGGGTGCAGTATACTCCCAGAATTCGCAGGTCTTCTCTGACCTGTACACGGATTTGAGGCACTACTATCGAGGCTCAAATGTCAACCTGGAGGAGGTGCTCAACGAATTCTGGGCCAGGCTGCTGGAGAAGCTCTTCTACCAGGCAAACAAGCAATATTCCATAGGTACGCCCAGCTTCTTTTTGTCAAACGCCAAATACCAACCATGAAGTAATTTGTGGGTTAATGTTGCATCACTAACACAGATTTATTGACTGAGAACTCCCTTCACAGCGGTGATATACACTGTGTACTTTACATAAGTAAAATAAAGAGCACAAATTACGACTTGGCTTTGACACTGTCAGTGATAACATCTGATTTATTCTCTTTGCAGAGATAACCTCACACTTAATTAAAATAAAATACCCTAAACTATAATCTTGAGATGTATGTGTTGAACGTGTATCTTGATTGCAGGTGAGGACTACCTGGAGTGTGTGTCTAAGCAGATAGAGACGCTACGGCCCTTCGGAGACATACCCCGTGTAATGAAGATGGTGGTCACACGCACATTTGTGGCAGCACGTTCCTTCGTTCAGGGACTGGTGGTCACTGGGGAGGTGGTGCGCAAGGTGTCCCAGGTAAAAACCTCTCTCCAGTTTCCCATTTTCTTCCCTTTCAATTTTACACGGCTTCCTTCCATCTAATAACTGTGATTTGCCTCTTTGCCTTAAATTTATAGTCCCCTTTTCCTATTTCCCGCACCGGTTACTTTTATTGCTTTTGATAGAAGGGACTTACGGACTCACACAGCATTTAACTGGTGTCTAATCTGCCGAAAAGCTAATATTCTCTCCCACTACATGTTAATTGGTGTTATTGTGTTAAAGGTCTGTATTCATTTTTCTTTTGTGGTCACCAGTCCACCTCCTTGATGTGAACCTCTAAAAACACACACATATACACTGGGCTGTTTTTACTGGTCTGTGTGGATAGTATAAAGCAGTGGCAGATCAATGTTGGTGGAAACTAGAGGCTCCATAAAGTAAAGCCCACGGCTCTCAGGCAATCAGCCCCTGCAGCAACAGTTAATGTCAGCTTCACACTGAAAGAAAAGGCCATGGGGAGGGTTAATATCTCCCAAGAGAAATGGTCCCCTTTGTGTATAAGACAAGAGTAAGGTTAAGATCAGAGCAAGACTGAGAAATTATTCCAGCTTCTGAAAGGGAGGCAGTCAGTATTGATGCAGTAGTGAAAAACATCTTCCATCAGCCATTGGACAAGGAGCCCTGGCCCCATGAGAAATATTCGCATCCTTTGACAAAACAGATGCTGCACCAGAGATGAATAATAAAATAATTTCCTTGATGAAATATTACAAGGCCAGGCTGTTTGTAAGCATGAAAAGACCAAAAGCAAGAGAGGAAAAAATAAAATAAAATAAACAGAAAGATTGTGGCGCTACTACGTGACTCCAAGGCCACACATTTGGATGCATGTCAGAGAAAGAATCTGTATGATCCTTTTCCGTTTCACTCTGATGTATGTGTTCTGGCTAGCACTGTGGGTGGCACATACTGTGCTGTTTGCATCAGACTGAGACAGCCTGGCCTAGCATATCTTTCTCTGCTTCTCTTTGGCCCAGAAATAGGTGCAACATCTCACACCTACACAGAGGGACCTGAGGATGTGTCAGTGAAGTACCTGCACACAGCAAAGCCTATGCACATCCATAGCCACAGGGAGGTAAAATCAGGGATGACCATGAACACAGCTAGTCCAGCAAAGCAGTTAGTAGGTGAATAACAAGACACACAGCATGACAGTGGCAGTTAAAACTCCATGACCTGGAGCTATGGCACTCATGCAACTAGCCTAACATAGCCAGAGACATGACATTTACTGCTTAACTTAGACGCGAGCAAACAGGGGACGACGGATCGGAATTAGCATGGGCAGCACGCTATGTCGAAATTGCCATTCAGGATTTGTGACACATGGACGTACCCCCTGGGCCAGTCAGAGTGGGTTAGGACTCCTGCAAGAGCTCTGCCAGCAAGATGCTAAACTGATAAGCATCTCTGTTAGGCAAACATTCATGTACACACTGGAGTACGCGAGCGCACAAGTGCCTCAAGGTGTAGAAACACACACACACAGTTCCACACACAAGTCGTCATAACATCATTACCCTCCAACGGTGATGAACATTTCCCCAGTGTGGCTATTTCTTAATACACATTTCCCGCCTGATGTCGTTGTGTTTGTGCTGAGGGATAGTGAGCGATGAGTTCATTAAACTAGGCTGGCTGGGGAAAATGTGTAAATAATTAGCGCAGCTTTTACAAAATTACAAAATGTCATCCCAGCGCTAATGCCAGGGCACTGGAGCCACTGCCACTCTGAATTAGGTCATGGACTGCATTCTGCCCTATTTACACACACTCATCAAAAGTCTTAAGTGGGAAGGCAAGAGAACACCGCAATTCAAGAACAGTCACTATGGACGCACTTGGTCAATCTCTGCAAAAGGGAATTTCCAAGCTCGGTCCATTGAACTGTACTGCCTTTCTTTCTTTGAGTCATCCATGTCAAAGCTGGTTTGATACAATTTGAGTAAACAAAGTACAGGCTTCAACCAACTGTTCAATTTCATATTCAATTTCGAATTCATAATTTGTGTGTCAGACTGTGTCGCTGTCTTCGCCTGCACACAATCAGCCTTGTGCTGTACTTACGTAGATCGGAACGGCCTTGTGCTGGGAACAAATGAGACGGTGAAAAAAAAGAGAGAGGAAGATAATAAAAAGACTGTGACGAACTCCAGCATCCTCTCTTATCCCCGTCTTACTGGTCTCTCAATCCTTCATTCTCCTTCCTCTCTCAGTAAATTGTACTCCATCATGTCTGTTGATATTTCCCAGAGCTGTGCCCTGTGCTGGCCTTTGTCTCCTTTTTAGTGTGAATAGCTTTGTACACTAATTTGGATCTTAGCTTTCCCCTCCTTTCCTCTGTAATTTTATCTTCGATTGATTGGGCCCTAATGAGACAACCTCTCCTATTTATAGCTATGTATTGCCACTTAAAGGGGCCCTGTGACTGAAGATGTTTACTTCACACTGCTCCGGGAGCTATTACACTGCTCGAGTGCAAAGCAGGGGAGAATAAGACGCAGTTCTCCCTGCATATGTGTGTGCTCCAAATGTCTTCTGCGGAAGTCTGTGTTTGCTGCCAACTTAGAATAAGCATGACATGAATCCCTGCTATGTATTAGTTTGATTAGCTATGAAAAATAGGAGATGTAGTGAAACGTGATGAAAGAGTATCCTGAAAGGAGGCTGGGAATAGAGCAAAGCAGAGCAGAGGGAGACCGAGATGCGTGGAAAACTGAATAATTATTTGAGAGGGAAGGAGATCTCAGAAGTGAGATGCAGTATTTCTTTCTGGTACAGTATTTATTCCTCCCTTGCTTCGCTCCAAGCTGCACCAGTTGCTGTGTCCTTAACTTTTTTCCGGACTGTTTTATTCCCTCGGGTGGAGGAGTGGAGGAAGTAGGCCACGCGCCACATAGCTCACTCTGGAGGCAAGGAGTCTGGATGAGCTCGCTTTATAACACAAGGGGGAGAGGTTGCTCATATATCCTTACTAATTACATAGGAAAGACAAGCAGCGAGAGAGAGAGAGAGAGAGAGAGAGAGAGAGAATCAAGCTTGATCGCAGGCAATATAAAAGGAACTGACAGGTATGGGAAGCATATTGTGTAGGTGAAATGAGGACAAGTGAGGGTATAGGTGTTTAAAATGTAACACAGTCATGTCAAAGAGCCACATGTGTAAACATCAAAGAGAGAAATTCAAGCCTAAAACTTTCTCTTGATATCTCCTGATAGGCCTGTACAGAGATGATTTGAAGTAGGTCAGAGTGAGTGTAGTGTGTGTGAGTGTGTGAAAGTGTGAAGATGCATTCTGTCTTTATTAGTGCTGATATGTTGATCAATTTAGAGTTGATCGAAATAAAACTTGTGATCAACGATTTTGATGAGCAATTAAACATTGAACAGTAAAAAGTGAGGATTAGCAGTTTTTTTCTGTTGTATGTATCCGTACATGAATTGTCTCGTGGTTTCGGACTATTGGGTGGACAAAACAAGCAATTTGAAGATATCTCCTTGTACTCTGGGATATGGTGATGGGCATTTTTCACTATTTTTTTAACACTTTAATTGTAGGATTTAATTGCATTTTTTTTCATGAATTGAAAAATAATAATAAAAAAAAACCCCAAATTGATCCATAATGAAATCAATCCTCCAGAGACTATGAGTCTTTTTACTGGTTCTAATTTGACAGCCCCTCCTTCACAGTGCCTGGTGCACCACAGCTCCAAGGTTACTGAGGAAATTGTTAACATCAACCAGCACCACAGAGCAGTTACACACTGTGTCATGTCTGTTGGGCCTGGCCTGGGATTCCCAGTATTAATACTGTATGGATGATGTAACAGGAACTAGATTAATGACTGTCTCTCCTTAATAAGTATTTCATTTTTTCACTCCCCTGCCAACACCCCTTGGTGGATCTCTAAGGTTTTTTTTTTTTTAACATCCCACTATCTCTCTCATTTTCAGGCATTCTCTCCACTCATCTCTGCACACTCCCCTCCCTCACTCCTCTCTCTCACCAAAAAAGCATTCGTCTGACTCATCCCTAGCTAATGAGTGGTGGGGTAAGCATGGGAGGAGGGGAGAAAAGGAGGGCAAGATCTGACTCATGTCTCATAAGACTTGAGATTAAGCCTGGGAATGTGGTTATTGCTGTTCTGTGTCACTTATTTCACTTCATGCTGTCCTCCTTGTGCAACTGGCAATAATTACCAAATTCGATTGATCTCTCTTATACATCAGAGATGGATTTACTAATTTAGGCTCATTATGTATTTTTTTTAATGTGGTTTAGGATTTAGTTTAAAGTTGAAACAGTGTCAGAAGTACTTTTACTAAACTACTTTTGCCTTATGTAGATCAAATATAATTAGATTAAATTTTAATGATCCTTGTGGGGATATTGAGTTGATGCTATATAACCATAAATAATCATTGAATACAGTTAAGAAAAAAAGAGACTAGAAAACAATATTTTCAACATTAGAGAACTGATGACAGAAAGTACATAAAGTGTGAGAGACAATGTAGATCACAAATGAAACTATGAAAAGAACTATACACTTCACACAGAATTATACCGTGAAAGAAAAGTGTTACAGAGGAGCTACCTTTGTTGATGCAGATTACATTCATCATGGGACAAGGCCATAGTCCACTGTCCTGAGAATTCAATGTCTGCCTGAAAATGATCTTTCTTCATTGAGACTGGAAGCTGTCCTAAACGCATGACAGGACTGTAGAATGTTGTTTTCCCACCTGATCCCTATTGTTGCCCCATTTCCACTGTATATTTGTTAAAACCTGGTTTTAACTGTGACTTTGCTGTTAGAAGAACAGTTTCCAGGAAAAGCATCAGGCTGGCCCAGATGTCAGCTTAGAGGAGCTTTGTATGCGTAGCTGGGCTCGTTCCATCGCTCTCTCTCTCTCTCTCTCTCTCTCTCTCTCTCTCTCTCTCTCTCTCTCTCTCTCTCTCTCTCTCTCTCTCTGTCTCTCTCGCGCGCGCTCCCTCCCTCCCTCTCTCTCTCTCACACACACACACACACACTTCCTGAGGTTTTGCATGCATAGCTGTACTCTCTTGTGAACAGAGCTTACTGGTATTAACCCAGTTTCACTTTTCACGCACGAAGGCCCTTTCCAGGGGGAGCAGCGTTGTGGGATAGAGAGAGAAATGGAGGAGGCAGGAAGGATGGAGTGAGGGACTGAGAATACTTGTATGAATGTCAGGGCCTTTTCATCGCATGTGAAACAAAAAGCGAATTCTCCCAAAGTGGTTTCCAAGGAAACTGTGCTGAATGAAAGTCTGGTACAAACTAAAAAAAAAGGTCACCATGGGAGGTGACCTCCCACAGTTCTGCGACTGTCATTGTCTGGCTAAAGAAATTTACATCTTTACATCTTAATAAATCTGAGCACTTTTGTTTAACATATATTTAATTCTCCTGTACAGTAATAGCAGGGCTTTTCACAGTTTATACAGTCAAATGTACAGTCTGATCAACAGCTGCTATCAGTTTTTTCTTTTGGACTCTTAGATCATATATGCTTGACTAAACAGTAATTTTTCATCCAGGTGGTGTATGCTTATTTTTGTCTGTGCCCTACCCCAGGTGCAGCTGAGCCAGGAGTGTACGCGAGCCATGATGAGGATGACTTACTGTCCCCACTGCCGGGGCATGGCCTCTGCCAGACCTTGTGCCAACTACTGCAGCAATGTCATGAAGGGTTGTCTGGCCAACCAAGCTGACCTCAACACTGAGTGGAGGCATTTGGCGGGTGGGTAGCACATCACACAAACATTCACACATGAATCCAATTCAGCCTCATGTCCGCTCAGAGGTTCACCCGACACATGGTGTTACTTTGTGCTGTGAATACAGCTGAACCAACTTCATGCATATGAAACGTTCTTCATGGTAACTGTACCTCCTGTCTTTGTAGAGACAATGATGCAGGTGGCTGATCGCTTTGATGACCCATCTGGTGTGGATAGCGTGGTCCTCTCCCTTCCCAATCGCATATCAGAAGCTATGTTGACCATGATCGATAATTTACAGACCATCAACAGCAAGGTCAGAACACTCAGTGGTGCATACATACTTACAGATATACACAGCTGAAGTATACAAACTCGTTTTACTGCACAGAATACAATGAAGAGCTCATAAAAAATACATCAAATGATATTGTGAGCTAAACCACAATGTGTCGGCGCCATCATAGACACTGAATATCCCTGATATTCAATCAAATCCCAATCACATATTTCCTTGATTATTAAAGCAGTTCAATCTGTGCCTCAATTTTAATCATTGACCACTGGAGGAGGACCCTCCATCAGCGAGGAACAGAATGCACGTCATTTTGAATAAGTATTCAGACCCCTTCACTTTTGGTACACTTTGTTGTATTGAAGATGTAATTGATATAAATGGATAAAATTGCAATTTTTAATCATTAATCTACACAATGACAAAGTGAAAACATGTTTGTGAATTTATTAAAAATCCCACTGACTGCTGTGGAACAGGTACATGCTCCTTGCTTCAATCTTCCTTGGGATGTGAGAAGAACTTCATCCAACTGTGGCAAATTGAATTCATTAGACACAGTTTAGACCTCTGCGATAGATCAGGGCAAGGGTATACAACAGTGGTTTGGAGTGTGTGTGGGGCTCAGAAAAACTTAATGTGATGCACTTCCATGCACCAATCAGGATTTAGCAATGTTGACAGTTATAGGATTATATGTAGCCAAACGTCAAGTTGATGTATTTAAAGCACACCCACACAGTCCTGATGAAGCAGATTAGCTGGTTGTTCCTTATTTAGTTATGAATATTTAATGTTATGGAGAAATACTAAAAATTTGGATTTCTGGGGCTTTAAAATATTTATATCATTCGATAAACTTTTAAGAATAGAAGGAAAGAAGTAAAAAAAATCTGTACTGTCTCAGGAAATGCCAATGTGCCACCTAATATAATATAATATAACACACAATCATTCATCTCGGTTCTGACTCAAACAACATGCGGGCTTGACCCTGGGTCTCTGCTCACCATGCTACCTCATTGCCCCTACTTGTTCATACAATTAACACCTATCCTGCAACTAAATGAATGCTGTTACAAAGCCCCACATACCTGATTTCAACTGAGGGATGTGAGTCATGCCAGAGTCTGTGGGCCAAGCATTTACTTCACTGCTTAATGGTGTTTTAGCATCAGTTTTATATGATCCTTAAAAGGCACTGGCAGCCATGAAAATCTGACTGAGTAGTTTGGTGAAGGTGGAAAACTGTGTAGATGGTGAGAGAAAAGACAAAGCTTCTTCTGTGCTGGTTTGCTGTTAAAGGAGCCTGGCGGCCTGAGGTGAGCCATAGTCTGGCGGGCCGCCTCTGACCTGGTTCAGTATGGTAATCACACACAGCTTCAGCTTGTGATCTTCATCTCTAGGGGAAAGTGCTGTGTTGATCCCTCAGAAGTCAATTGATGCTCATAGTGTAGTATTATGGTAGACAAAGTGTGGGGACAGATTATCCTTTATTTACATAATCTGCTGACATCAAAAGCCATATGTTGAGTTATGTACTTTCCCTCATAAAAACATAGACCTACCAGATACACACAATAGAATCTGCAGTAGGTATGTGTAAATATAACTGTAGCAGAGTCAATGCCATGTTTTTCATGTTCATTATTCAATCTGCTGCGAACCACACAACATGACAGACATGACTGAAAGCTTAAAACGGGATCATTGTATTCTTATATGTGAAGGTTCAAAGGCTTGAGGCTCCTCTAAGCAGATCAGATTGGATGACAGATTGACTGCAGTCTCTCTGTATTCCCAGGGCTCCATTTATAAATGTAAGCCCCATAGGGACAAGAAGTACTCTCTGAGCTGTGAATCATTCTGCTTGAATGATTCTGTGGTTGACTCATGGGGTCATTCAAATAACCAGCACCACTTGTGACTGTCGGTTTTCATAGGTAAGACATTTGTGTGTACTAATATGCTCAAAGATTCTTTGTGTACCTATAGATAGATAGCTGGTCTAACAAACACCAAATGTTTTGCTGATGCGGTTTGATTATGAGATTATAGGATTCTATTCAGAGAGGTGGTTCAGCATCATCAGATTTCATTCTTGTTAACACCAACACCAATAAAGATTCAGAGCATGACCTACATATGGGAGGAAAGTAAAGTTTATAGAGCCTGTGTGAAGCCTTACAGTTCAAGTTACTTGTACTAGAAGCACTTGGATCTGGTGTCTCATTTAACCCTTCTGTTAACCTTCTCGAGTACAGGTAGGTGACATCTTAAAGGAAAATGTGAACACATGAGTAGATAAATATAATGACTACAGATGCTTCCATACAGGGCGGGACTGGGTCACGAAAAGGTTTGATCAGAATGATGTGAATCATGTGCTGTGGCCTTCACAGTGACCAGATCTCAACCCAACTGATTGCCTGCAGTTGACTTTGGATTGACTGTCACGAGGGAATATATTTTGGAAGAATGGTGTTCGTCATGTCAAGGGTCACTGGAGCTGCAGCCGCCCTGGACGCTTGTGGTGGCCCAACAAATCACTAATACACTTTACGTTGGTTTTTTTTCTTAGATTTGTCACCCATCTGCATCTTCTCTCTCCATTTCTGTTTTGTCTTTTCTTCACCTTCTCCTGCACCAGTTGTTCCAGGCATGTGGCAACATCAGAGAGGGAGGAACCAGCAGCACAGGAGTTGATGACTCCATGAAAAGAGGGAGGGTTACAGTGGAGGACAGGCTGGAAGCCAGCTCCAACAAAATGAACAAACTGGTAAGTATTTATTCAACTGAATCTGTGTTCTTGTTATTGCACGCTGACAGCCTAATCTGATCCATTCATAGTGATGGTCTATGACGTAGGAACCATTGCTCAACCTGGTTCACTTAAACCCCTTTTTGCTGCTCATTTCACCTTTACACTATGGGGTGATTAGATGGGAATGAATGCGTGCAAGGATGAATGACTCCGATGACTAAGCACTGCAGTTGGTTATCGGGGAAGCAGGATTTTTTTGCTCATTATGCTCATCATTATGCTGTGATTTTAGGCAAAGCATAAAAGCTCACAAATCTGCTCAACTCCCACCTCAGGTGTCTGATGTAACTGTGAGACTGAGGGACTTGCAGTCATACTGGGTTTCTCTTCCGAGTATGCTCTGCAGTGACAGAGTGGCCACCGGAACGGGGGCCGAGGATAAGTGTTGGAACGGCATGAACCGTGCCAGGTAGGATATTTAAACCTATGAATACATGTATTTTCAAATAACAAATCAAAGTAGAAAATGGACATTCCATCTTCCAAAATGATGGTGTTGAATTCATAGTATAATTTCCCTCTGCCATCAGGCTAGACAACACCTCAGCCAAAGGAAATGGACTAATCTATCTATCTATCTATCTATCTATCTATCTATCTATCTATCTATCTATCTATCTATCTATCTAATGGGAACTGTGGGTTGTTGCTGAAGTGATCCCTATTTTTTACAAACTGTTCAGCGGTCCCAGCCATCAAATATCAACACCATATACCCCCACAGTGGATACATGGTGTTGATACATGTAATGTAATGTAATCTTCATATCAAAGCAAGACTCAGTAAGTTTTGAAATAAGAAATCATAAGCAGTAAAACGTTTCCATGTTCAATTCAAAACACTCAGTGATTCTGCTGTTTCAGCCTTATTTGTTTTGGTATGACCAGTAGTGTATGGTGTTTAATGTTAGCTAATGTAAGCAAACTTTTAATATTGTTGTGGTCATTTTGCTGACTTCGCAACTCCTCTTTTCCCATCATAGATACATTTCAGTGTTTCTTTTTTTCACAAAACATAAAACAAGAAGTAAGCATACTGTATCTCATGACATGTTAGTTGTTTCCCGCTTGTGGTCCTGTTTCATTTACTCTCAGTCTGATCCTCTTCTTCTTATTTTTTTTTTTTTTTTTAAATGTTGGGAGGAAACAGCATTTTACAGTAGATGCATTACCACCACTTTCAGTCTGGTCACCAAATAATGATGTATTTAAAACCAACTGACAGAATCCTGGGAAATGTAGGAAATGCAAAGTGCCATTATCCTATCATCACTGTTCAGCAAAAAGTTGCATAGTCTCCAGTTCACAGTAAGATGATGAAATGTTGTCTTTCGCGTGTTAAACAAGTGTTCATGTGTGCCAGGTACCTTCCTGAGGTGATGGGTGATGGCCTGGCCAGTCAGATCAACAACCCTGAAGTGGAAATCGACATCACCAAGCCAGACATGACAATACGCCAACAGATAATGCAGCTGAAGATCATGACGCACCGCCTGAAGAATGCTCTCAACGGCCAGGACGTGGACTTCCAGGACACCAGTGTGTACTTTTACCATGACAGCCCACAAGTTTCTAAAAAATATTCACAAGAAATCAGATGACTCACTGATGATTCAAAGCTTTTAACAAGTTCTAGATTAAGGGGAATAAACAACTTTGTTTTTGAGGAGGCAGAACACATATCTTATACGAACGCTTGCAAAAAGCAAAGGTAGTACATTTGAAATAAAGACAAAGGTATAAAAAATGCTTTGCATGAATCAAAGTGCTTTTTTGTCCTATTTTGTAACAGTACAAGTAACACAAAATTTCCTTTTTCTGGGACTTGCACCTTGGCAGTCAACCTCATATGTCATGCTAGTAGTTAAGCAAATAATGTATGAGGATGATACATTTAATATATTAATTATATGAATACACAGGCCACACTGTTTCTAGATGTGTGTATGTACGTACCATTAAGCTCATGTCCTGACTCTCTGTCTGTAGGTGATGATGTCAGCGGTTCGGGAAGTGGCATGTGCGCCGAAGAAATGTGTTCCCGGGACCCACGCCTTGTCAACCCCGTCACTGAACGACCAATAATACGCTACCCTTTCCCTCCTGAAAACAAGAAGGTGAAAGCCTCAGCCAATCAGAACCTCCCCTGCATCACCATTTACCTGCTTTCACTGCTCATCTTGCTGCTCCGGCGATAATTGAGGGGGAATCTACCAACCGGGACTGAGTTTGGGACACGGGGTTGGGGAGAGTCTGAAATGGGAGGGAGGAGAAGTTTGGGGGTTAGTTACTTTGCCAAAACTAAATAAGTATAAGGAAACAACAACAAAAAAAAATCACTTGGACGGACTTTGTTTTGGTTTTGGATTAGAACAAAATGGAATGACGACTATTCATAAATGTTTTGGTTCTGCTCTGGTCTTTTATTTCCTGCTATATTATGACACCATTAGAGCTGGTCTTTTCGCATCTTCTAATGTTTTGTTTCTGGTGTTTTGGTTCTCTGAGATACTATCTGTACCTAAGACATGTGTAAGACTATATTGCTAACAGTATGTTGGTGTTGACACCACAGGGAGAGGGAGAATGGGGCTTTGCAGTGGTACTCGGATAGACATATTTTATTCCACTCCTTTGAAACGGCACTTGTTTTCAGTAGAATTTATTTATTTATTAATAACTCACAATAGAACCCAATATTTATAGGAAAAGAACACAAACTTCAATGAAATATAACATTAATGACTTTTACAGGAGGATAATCTGGACATCACGACTCACCAGACCTCTTAATGCATCAAGCCTCACAATGTCATTAAACGTACACACACTTTCTCACAACGTGGGTGAGAGCACTCCGCGTCAGCACTTTTTCCATTTAAGCTGTAATAATAGCCGTGATCACATTCACACTGACATGATCGTCTAATGTAGGAGTAACATGACCCACCATCCACCACTCCATCCATCCACTCATCCCCACATTCCCTCTGCCACCCCCACCCCTCCCCGCCGGGGCAGATCTCCCTCTCTCTCTCCAAACCCTGCTGGCAGTGTAGGATCAACTCGAGAGTCTGGTGTAAGCAAAACACATGCTAGGCCGGGCCAGGTCTCAGATGACAGCAGCTTCCCACTATAGAGCACTGTATGTGGAATGGTGACGGCGGGGGTGGGGCTGGGGGGGTGTCGGTTTAAGATCGCCCTCACAGCAAAGGATTGACAGTTCATGATTTTGGAAGCTTGTAGCAAAGCAGAAATTTACACAGAAGCAGAAACACTGCTGTCATGTAGCGCTTTTTTTTTTTTTTTTTTTTTTTTTTTTTTGCAGTATTCCTTTTATGTGCACAGCAAAGCAAAAATATATAACATGCATAATTTTGTGTGCTCCCTGCAAAGGCCCAGTGTTCCTGTGATTAGCATCATAATTGCAACCAGCAGTGTCATATGTTTTTGTCTAATTGCAGCAATGATTCATATCACAGTCCAAGCCACACCGTGCACCGTGTTTGAATTGTTCTACTATTTCGATGGCAGACACAGCAGTGTACATATTTTTGATTGCTTCTTTGTTGTTTTCTAGAGGAAATAGCCAATTAGGTATCACAATTTTATAATGGCCAGATCATTGTATGCTTTAACTCTTAATTCCTTCATCATCTGTCATAGTGTATTCATATCTGCCTTCCATTTTTCTGCAACTTTTCTATATCAGTGCCTCTTTCTTCCCACCCCCGACTCCCTCTACCCGTCTCCCCGCTCATCAATTATTATGACCTTTAAAGCGTTCCTCATGCTTCTACATGATGGCAAGGCAATATGACAATGACACAGTGGTTCATTACGTGTCAACGTTAGTGGAAATGTTGTGGAAACACAGTGTGAGGCTTTTTCCTGATGAGAAGCTCGCTGGGGAGGAAACATGTACCACATTTAATTCAAAGAAATGTCAAAGCTCTCGTTTAAGAACGCTGTGTGCAGGATGATGGGACAGTGTTTGCATGTGTGTACATGTTTTTGTGTTTGCGTGTGAATGTGTGTACTTGTCTTTTGATTGATTGAGCAAAAGAGGGGACGGACGATAGAGCCTTTATAAATCTTGTCTGGATGCCACAGAAATGAAATGTATTAAAATGTATTGGACTAACATTATATGCTAGAGTGCTATTCAACTGACAGCAATGGGAGATTAATATAGCTCATTTTTCCAAACTGGTATTTTCAACCTACTACTGTAATAATTCACAATCCCTATTGATGGTATCTCTACTTGTCAGTATTGTATGTGACAGAGAAATGAATATGGAGGACACAAATGGACATCATTGCTTCAGTTGTACACTGGGACAATCCACTATAATTCATTTTGTGAAAAAAAAAAATCTATATGCACCTGACGGTTGGTAATACTGCAGATCCAATTAAGTAGTTTGAGGCTCTGTCAAAGTTTGAGAAGCACATCTGTTAGATACTTGGTTAATTACCGCTCTGGAAACGGGTGAGGTGGTTGTCATGCGTGTTACTTGACAGGTTATTTTGATGGTATTTTCAGTTTTTGACATGCTTTATTAATGACTGCTTTGTTGCTCTGTGTGTATGCGCGTTTATGTGCGGGTGTGTGTGTCTTTCTCTTAGTCCCTGGTTATGAAATCTGCCTGTGACTGCCTTTGACACTTTGTATAAGGTTGGGGTCAATTTTGAGATTTAAAAAGACAGATATAGTGATATTAGACGTTCAAGTGGGGAAAAAATACACATATTAAACAAAGAACAATTAGCAAGGGCACCGCACGGGTCCTCTTTTTGTGACCCTTTAGAAAAATCTCAATATGAATGTGAAAGTACACAACATGCCCTGTAAAGAATGAGAAATGACTCCAACTGTGATGGTGACATTCCAATTCAAAGACGACTTGCGACTTTAGACTCAGAACTTGAGTTATATTGACTGCCTCACAATGTCATGGGCTGAAATTTGCACAAACCCCCCCCCTCCCCCCTCCCATCCCTACCCCCATCCCACCCCACCCCTCCTCTCTCCTCCTTCACCTTTTGATCCCATTAATTTGTTGCTCAAGTCCTCCCTCCCTTTTATAAAAACCTGCACTTTTATGAGGCCAATAAATGGCATTGTCTGCACAAAGACATCACAAGATGGTCAATCGATGCGTGAGTCAACACCTTCCAGGAACGACTATTGATTGGGGATGTGTGTATGCAGATAGATATGGCCCAGCAAGACGTCTCCTCTTCAACTACAGTGAAACAGTGTAAACTCAAAGCCCCTGAGTGCGAGAGGAAGCAGGAGAAAGGTCTGTCCAGAACGTTGACAATCCTGCCCTCATTCATTACTTTAGGTGGCAAAAAAAATAATGCAAAGCTGATTATCCAACCATTTAAAAACTGCTTTATTCTACACTGTGTTGAGTATGAGAGGCATTTCTGTATGGTGCCAATTTATGAGGAAAAAAAAAAAAGTACTTTTCATTTTCTTGTTTTTATTTACTTCGGTTTTGTTGTTACCAGAAATCTATGGAGAGTTTGTGCTTATGGTGAAGATAGATGCCAGAAAGAGGTCGAAAAATACAAATGTCTCATTTGCTGTTGTACCTGAAATCTTGTGTCAATTATATACATTGTAAGATTTTCAACATGCCTGTGCCCTGTTTCTTTACCTGTGTGTGTGTGTGTGTGTGTGTGTGTGTGTGTGTGTGTGTGTGTGTGTGTGTGTGTGCGTTTGTTTGACAGAGAAAATAGGACAAACAGTTGTTGGTTTATACTTCCATCAGGCAGATTTTAAAAAGGTTTTAAATTATATTCACAAACCACTTAGCTCACACAAACAACACTCAGAACCATTATATCTAGGTTTCTAAGGAAAAGGAAGTGTATGCTCTTCTTCAAAATTGTGCATACCATCTGTCCGAGTTGTTTCTCGGAGCGCAGCGGGGGCACACTGCCACCTAAAAAGGGCCAATGTGCTTCAGTGATGATGTCAGAGGTGACAGCTGCTGTCTGGTGTTGCCACACAGGAAAAACTGCCACATGTTCAGAGCACACTAAGTGCTTTGTCTTGTTTCTGTGTGTAGACAATGAAATGATCATCCCCCTCAGGATGGTTTTAACAAGGTGTACTTGACCATGATCCTATGGGAGGCTTGAAATGCCACGCTTCATGTACAGCACTGTTTTATACTAAGTGTTGCAAATATGTGTATAGAGGCAAAGAACTTTATGGATTCTAGTATAGCAGTGGCAGCAATTTTTCCACCTCTCTCACCGGGTTACAAATTATACGAGAGAAATGCACCTCACAGTTGGGTCATGGCAGCAATATTTAACCAAGATTATGAATATTAAAGTATGTGTCACAATAAATCTCAATTGCCACCCTCTCTGCCTCTAAACAGCGCCAAAATACACAGAGTCTGTCCTTGTAGGTCGACCTTGTTCACTCCAGCATCTGTTTGGTGTCACAACATGGGGATTCAAAGACAAACTCCAACTGTGCCTAGATAATTTTAACAATCCCAGCACACATTTTCTATTTCTTTTTTTTTTTTTAATCAATATTAATATATTTCTACTCAGTGAGAGACAATTTTATTCTAAGTGATTGGAGTACATTTAATTTCACTGAAATCATTAGTCATCCTTCTGCAGTCGTGGCCCCTTAGCAGCTGCTTCTGTACACACATACCGGGAGACGGACTCGCATACCCGGCTATTGATTGTGTCTGAGGCTCTTCACCTTCTCTCTTACTCACAGCCCACACAACTGCACAAATACACAAGAGTTATTCTCAGCCTTTTGGCTTTCAGCTTGCCCTTTGGTTCACAGCGCTTTTATGAGTGACTGCCTCACAACCTTACATGGTCTCCGTATTTGAAATATCAGCTCAACAGGGCAAAACACTTGTCAATAAAAATCTCCTCAGCTCAATACACCCCGAACTGCCTTTGCTTTCAGGCTCCATCATGTCTGGCGGTAACATGCTACCGGGATTGTGCACCTAATACCTTATGAAATCCATTGAAATATGTTATTCCCAGAAATGAAAAGAGGGTAATGACGCACTGCATAAAATTTTAACCACATTTCCATTTCAGCATGAAGGCAACTTATTGGGTAGCCAAATTAGTTCAAAAGAAGGGTAATATCTGGAGAAAATTGGATTCCTCTCTTCTTCTCTCTTCGGCACCAGGTGCCATGGTAAACCTACCAAATCTTTTAACGCTATGTTACAGGAAGTGAATGTTTGGTGAAACATGGCATTTGGAGTAGTTATCCTATTGCCTCTATTGCTTTATCCCGTGTATTTGAATTTGGATTACCCAAAGAATGCTCGCAGGTTTTTGACGTCATGAATTCAAAGAGAGAGATCCCCTGTAATTTTTAACATCAGTGTCACGTCTGGAAGTGCAGACAAAAATACTAAAAAGGCAGTTTTCTGTTCTCCAACTAAATTCCCCTACATGGTTGAAAATGTGCGGTGTTCCTCTTTTGCCTTTTGGGTTATTAGACATATTCTCTCACCTTTTTCTCCCTCTTTGATCTGCACTGTAATTGAACTAAAGCCTCCCGCTCCCTCCCTCTCTCTCTCTCTCTTTCTCTCTCTCTCTCTCTCTCTATCTGATATCGAGCTGTCTGAGTTGTTATATAATTTTACATCAGTACTTATATTCGAGATCAAGGGCTTCACATCATTGCCTCTGTCAGATGACTGAATATGAGATGGGTCAAATAACCAAAGGCTCACCCAGATACACTTCCACCTCAGGTTGTACAGTACACGTGCACATACTGCCACCCAGTGGGGAAAGGGTTTCATTACATTTCAAGGAAAAATAATAAGGCTCAAAATGCACATAATGATGAGAGTAATGGGGCCTTTATGACATTAAATAGAAATGATGAGAATGATGGAAAAGTTGTTGCTTTAAATGTATAAATGACAACTTCTGCAATTGCTGACAAATTCTGCTTTACATTAATATCATAACCCAACAGATACAATCGACTGCAACTGAATGGAGGCCTCAGTTACAAGGGGAGTATGGTAATATTAGTCTTGCATATTCTGAATGTAGCCCAACCCCGGCGTAACTGAGCGTCACTTGTATTCTTGGGGATGAGTCTCTGATTCAGCAACGGTAGCAGTGGCCTTGTTAAAAATGATCAACATCTCCGTGAGTCAGAGGAGAGATCCAGTTATTACTTATGACTATTTATGACTATTTATTATGTCTCCTTTGTTAGTCTTCCTGAAAAGTGCCTACAGCTCCCATCAGGCTCTGACAGTAAAGCCCTGTGTCTGTCGACCTCTAGTGGTTGAAATTCTGAATTACTACAGTGTAGCTCTGTGTTAGGGCGACAGTAATGCAGTGATGCAGGGTGTGGTCATTAGAAGTGATACAAGTAGAAAAGGTTTGTGGAACAATTTTTTTTTTTTATCATGGTGCTAAATTGTTGTTTAAAGGACGATGAGACATTTCAAAGGTTGAACTTTTATTTGGGTGTCCATAATAACTCATAACTGTATTGCATTTATTTTTATTTTTTTAATATATTTTTTGAAAACTGCAAATATTATATTAGACACACAAATTTCACACTTTATACTTAAAGTTCTGATTTCTTTTAAGTGCTGATTTCCATGCTTTCCACCCAGTATTGCCCCAGACTGACCCTAAGATAAACAGTGGAATATGCAGACAGTTAAAGGATATGCCCTGGACACCAGAACATCTATAGCGTCAGTGCATGCTGTCCTGGAGGTTTAATACACTCTGATGGGATCCTGCAGGTGGTCAAACAACATTAGACTGTAGGGGGGAAGTGGATTAAGAAAGAAAGGTCAGGGGAGAAAGAGCCTTTGAGATACAAAAAGAGAAAGTGATACATTTTAAAGTCTAAGATTTCTATGTCTCTCTGACGGATTTGCAACCATCAGTGGTTGTAATTTTTTGTCCAAGATGAGGTTAAGATGCAAGCTCATTAAAACAACAGCAAAACAAGCCTGGGCAGGAATGAATAGTATCCCTTGACTTGCGTACTTCCATAACTTTGCGTTTCAGGAGTCTGTTCCTACTTGTCACCAACAGGGGTAGATGTTACCTTATCTGATTTAGGCACAGTCTTGGAGTGGATGGTTGTATTTTTGGATGGTTGACTCTTCACACATTCTGCTAAGCTTCACAGTGTTGGGATTTCTCGACTCTATAAAACACTTGGTTTTTGAAAGACGGGAGGGAAATATAACTGAACAGAGACTCACACAGGAACTCACCCACATACATATTCATAACAATTTTCAAACCTGAAAAGTTCAGGACACACACGCAATAATGACTTTAACCCCTGACATTAAGAGAGGAGTGATTGGAAGTCTCTCTCTCAAGTGATGAGACCAAATTGTATTATTTTCAGGGTGACATTTCAGAACATTATCTGTCTCTATAACTTTAAAGTCCCAACACGTATAATCACAAAGATCTGGCCAGACCACATACACAAACAATACACATGACCTTTTTCCTTTGAGCTGGTGCAATTTGATGTCCGGTCCTGTCATGCACAGAGACTGCACACAACAAACTTCACTGCAGTCGTTCTAAGTCAGTACCACTGAGAGATATGGGGAGAAAATATGGATCTTAGCAGCAACCCACGCATTCAGGTTTCAGGCAGCTTTTATTGTGAGCGGAAATTGTTCAACATTGTTAAAAAGATAAAACATAAAATGTTATATTGTGATATTGAAACTGGAAATTAGAGACAACAATGAGAAAATAGCATGTTGTGTGAGTCGGATGAAGAAACATAAACGAAAAACAAATTGCAAAGGGTCTAAACAAAGAAGCACGTGATCAACTTGTCTGAATGGCAGACACATTTTAAAAGTAAATTTAAAGAAAATGATATACACAAATTGACAGGAAAATATATTTTCTATCGCTTCGAGTGAGGCAATGCTGATGACACAATAAATGATTATTTACTTCCCACACTAAAAATGCATTAAAATTGATTTCTTAGTTGAAGAGTTTCCATGCGGTCGTCAACATCAGCAAACTGCATTGACTTTAACAAACAAGTATAAGGAAAGTCAAAACTGACCTCAAAGTTGGGACATCTTCCTTGAGCATCAGCCTCTCGGTTTCCTCCGTTGTATGCAGCCATGTTCATCTGCAGTGGCATGTCTCCATCGCTGGGTGGCGCTGTGGCTTCATCACATAGCTGAGCACAGCAGTAAATCAAATGCTGTGGTGCACCACAGGATATGTTTTCACTCTGTGCTGGGAAATGGCAAAGCTCTACCAACAGCCATTCCTTCCTCACGCTGTGCACACAAGGAAAAAAAAAAAAAAAGCAACACAAATATGTACTGTAATTAACACAAATGCTACAGTGTCAACACACTTTTCCAGCAGCTTGGACCGAATCCTAATGACACTTGATGAATCCAGCTGACATTTGAGCAACCCACGGGACTTTACCCATCTTCTATGACCTGAAACGATCCATAATGACCCCTGACCTCTGACCTTCTCAGTTGTTGTGTTGGTCCTTGAGTTCAGTTGGAAGTGACTGGAGCTCAGGACTATGCTATTATGAAGTGAAATGACATACCACATGTGTGTCACTTTA